GACAGCATGCGGCTAAACATGTCGTCACTGGTCCGATCAGGCAGGGGGCCAGAGAAAATTACGGAGTCCGACATTGTTTTGGCAAACTTACACACCGAAGCAACATTAATTTTAGTGACCTCCGATTGGCGTAACCGGGTGTCGTTACCGCCAGCGTGAATAACAATCTTACTGTATTTACGCTTATCCTTAGCCAGCAGTTTCAGATAAGATTTAATGTCGCCCGCTCTGGCCCCAGGTAAACATTTAACTATGGTTGCTGGAGTCTCTAATGCCACGTTTCTGACTATGGAGCTGCCAATGATCAGAGTCGGCTTATCAGTGGGTGCGTCACTGAGCGGGGAAAATCTATTAGAAACGTGGACGGGTTGGTGGTGGCCCACGGGCTGGGTTCTATGCTTCCTGCGTACCGTCACCCAGCCGGCCTGAGGTCCCGGCTGCTCGGGTTCTGCTGGAGGGTCGCTACGGGGTTGTTCTGAGCTAGTTAGCCCCGAGCTAGCTAAGTAGCTACGGCTGTTTACGGGCTTTTCAACAGCGCGGAGCCGGGACTCCAATTCCAACACCCTCGCCTCCAAAGCTACAAAAATGCTACATTTATTACACGTACCATTATCACTAAAGGAGGCAGAGGAGTAACTAAACATCTGACACAGAGAGCAAGAGATAGGAGACGGAGAAGAAGAGACAGAAGTAGCCATAGCCGTGCTGAGGCTAAGCTAACTGGATGAGCAAACTGTTCAGTACCAAATAAACTGCGTGCAAACTCAAATGGTTCCCTAAAAGCTAGGTGGAACAACAGAAAATGTGTGTTTTAGCGTGCTTTTGTGCTACAATAACTCAGAGATATCCAAGTACAGAGAAATTAAATCAGCTTTAGCGAGCCCCAAACACCAAACAGCTACACGTAGTGCAACACTGAAAACAGGAAACAGGAAACTCCTTACCGCCAGGACATCTCTCCTCTGACTGGCTGACAGCAATGCGACTGTCCCAGGGACTCTGTTTGCTTTGCCACGTTGATATTTTATCTTCACAAATAACGCTACTGGATGCTAAATCAACAACAACATTCCCCGTCAGGAGCCAAGATGGGTGAGCCCATTGTGGCAATAGGAAGTGCTAATGCTAATGCTCATGTCACTGGCTTATCTAATCGATTGTTTCCCTGTCTATTATCTTTCAGTGGCTAATGGAGGAAATAAGGGTAGAAGACTGTTTTCACTAGGGATGAGCCGGATACTTGTTTCAGACGAGTATCCGGTACGGATAAAGCATTTTTGACGAACACGAGCATGAAATGAGTAAAAGTCGTAAATATCTGTAATCGTGCTGAAGGAAAATCCTCATTGGGTAACTGACTGTCTTCACGCTCTGTGATTGGCCAGTCACATAGAGCGCCCGCCCCTCCCTACACACAAAACTCTCTAGCCGGCCGGGAGCGGAGTCCGTTTGGATCATCCATGCACACACACAGACAGTAACGGATCTCGTTGTGATTGCTTCACTGTTGCTCACGTTTCTTCAGTTTTCCCTAGGTTTTCTTCAGCTCGCCTCTTTTTCGGTTGAATATTTAAAGTTACTTTTTTGTAACTTACATGGTGCATTTGACAAGACAGAGCTGACGTGCTGCATCAGTCACTACCTCTGCTTCGGTCAGGATTTTTATTTTTTTAACTCCATCTCTCTCCCTCTCACCCCCTCTATCTCTCAGACACACACACCTTAATCAACATTGTTTTGTTTAACTTTGTGTGGCAAAATGCCAAGAACGTTAAGAAAAAAATCAGTTTAATCAAATTAAAATTAAAAAAACATACATAAAATTGTGTCTGGTTCTAGCATTTCATATTTCCTAGTTCCTACTGCAAGAGTTCAGATGCATTAATTCATGCACTTAAATATTAATGTGCTGATTTTATTGAAACACTTGTTCTGTAATAGTTTATTTACTATTGTGATCAAAAATGTTTAATCTCAATTCTGAGGCTGCTCTGTAAATAGTTTTCAAATAAACAATACACATATCAACTTCTGATCATTCCATATCAATTTCAGACTTAAAATAATATATTGATGTAAACCACACCCACTTCTGGTTAAACCACGCCCACTTCTGGGTTATGCCACGCCCATTCAGAGTACAGCTACAGATACAGATAACTGAGTTGGTTGAACAGATACAGATACAGATAGAGATAGTGGTGTACTCGCTCATCCCTAGTTTTCACATGTAGCCTGCATGTTAAACTCTGAGTAACCATTCATATTTCATAAAAAAATAGTCAAAAACTGTTTCTCAGTGAACTCGGCCTTCAAGGATGCGCTGGGTTACTGGTATGGCTCTAAAAAAAGATTTTATCAGATAATCCTACCGTGTGTGGTGGATCTAGGATTGTCTTGGTCCAATTTCGAAGACTAGTGTGCACTTTCCAATAAGAAAGTGAAGTGAAAGAATCATGTTGCATGCTCCTAGACCACTATATTTGTTTACTACAAAGTCCATTTTACTTTTGAGAGGTTTTAAATGATTTCCCTTCTTACTAGGGAGTGTCCATGTGTGAAATCAATGTGTGTATGTGGTATGTCGTTTTGCCGTGTGGCCGAACACCACACACTGGGACCAAAACGGTTATATCCATGCTTTTTTTAATTGCCACAAGTGTTGTTTCGTGTTTTGAAAATTGTCAATTTAAAATCCTGCATCGTGAACCAGGCCTAAGCTAACTCAGACGTGGCTGATTCCCCCCAAAAAATAAATAAACAGGAAACCACAACAGCAGAAGTGCATAGCTTCCCACATCCTACACTTTAGCATTTGCATGCTAACATAATTCAAATTAGGATCTTTTTGAGTTTTCATAGTCAACCAAAAAGAAAACTTTACTGGACTTTCTGAGGATGAATCAAAACACCCTACTACTGATTATTAAGAGGTTCTTTGATGGGCTTTAATTGCCATGTGTTTTGCTCAAGGCAGGGACTCAGATCAGACAGGACTCCGAATTTTACACGTAGTATATGTGAGACAAACTGCCAAACAGACAGCAGGCACAAGTGAGGGAGCGTATGATTTAACAGGCCAGAACAGCGTGCAGAGACGGTGTGTGCCTACTCATCTCATCACTCAGAGCAGGCAGGTACAGAAGTATGGCGGCTTTACAAGGTCAGTGTTTTACTTTGACTCGCGCTTGCTAATTTAATTACAGGCAGGGTGCCACAGAAGAGCATGCAGAGACAAACAGATGCTACAAACACAGATTCCCCACTGTTCTACAAGCCATACAATTTGTAGCATAAAGCTGCTGACATGTTTGGTCACAGCATCAGTCATTTATCAGGAAATTTGTGCTTGTGGAGAATTGGCGTGCAAAACAGTTTTGGACAGGCTCAAATATAGTTATATTTTTAGCCATTTTGAAGCAAAGGTTGTAAATATTTACTGTCTCACGCACTGTAGCTTTTTTTTTTTTTTTTTTTTTTTTGCAGCAGTATCCAAAGTTAAAGGAAAGTAGCTTTCTGAATGGCCTCTGTTTGGAGAGATAACTTTTACCCTTTGTCAGGGCTAACATCACCCAAGAGACTATATGTTGTTGCTGGGCTGCTTAAACAGCTGAATTTAAAAGAAAATTATAGTTTGCGCAGGGTTGTAATATGGGGGAGCTAACGCCTCCCCTCGGGTATTGTCCCTGGATTTGCTTCAACCAGAACCGGAAACCAACAATGACAAACGAGATGGCGCTAAATACTATTCTCCATTTCTAGGTCCAATCGTCTTTTGTTGTCTGTGACTTCGAATGGAGTTTTTCATTTTGGGACTCTGGTAGTTTGTCCTATATTTGAAGTGGTAGCAACCAGCTGTTTTTCCCTCTGTGATGTTATTGAGCTGCCAACCTCTTCCACCAGTGCTGTTCACGCGAGTGCATAATGAATGGAGGACCCAGGGAAGTGCGGAGATTCAACGAGACTGACAACCAGCTGGTCTAATAGCTGCTTTCAGTCTGAAACGTGTTATTGGTAGAGGTTTTAAGAAAAACGCAAGAAAACAACTTTATTGAATATTCTGATTGGATACACATTCATTCCAGAAGCGCTGCGCCACCAAAGATAGGATTGGGTTTTATTTTTGCAGCGAGCCACTTCTAGGATACATCAATTTCCACAGTTAACATAGGGCTAGACAGAAACTCACACAAGCATTCGGCAGTGAACCAGCTGACACACGCGAGACACCGGTTTGTCCCTGCGCTGAGTGGCACATGGATATGAACGACAAAAAGTAGTCCCGTTGTAATGTGAAGTTGTAAATTTACCCGGCTTTGTGTCTGAGATTTAAATTAGTCATGCTTTCAGAGGCAAATCCTTTTGTGAAGCTAAACGGTGCAGATACAGTACCCCAGAAACTAGCCATAACTAGTTTCCTGAATGACTTTCCCCCTGAAAATCTCTGAGCATGGGGTAAGGAACGCAAACAACCTCATGTCTAAAAATAGGAACTATCCCTTTAAGGTCTATACGTAGATGCATTTTTGTCTAGTTGACAATCATTTGCCAAAAGCTCAAATTTCTTTACTACAATGTAAGCAGTCATTCTATGTCCACCATTATAAGGTGTCCAGTCTTCTTCTAAATTGTTATTTTGGCTAAAATAATAATAAGGTCCAGCAGGACTTGACCCTTAGCTGTGTCTTGCTGCTGCTAGTGATATTTATACATCTGCATAATTGTGTGATGCAATACTGATTGCATTGCAGATGTTTATTAAAAGCTGTGGCATGAACCTTAATGGATTTTTTTTACAATGAAGTACTTTTAGGACAGCAGGAATACACTGATTTTGGCCTTGTTTCGACTAGCCGTTAGCACATCAGTCATGAGGGATGTATAAAGTCATTGAAAAGTATTTTTTTGTTTCAAATAATAAAACAGCTGTTTATTTTAGGGGGTTGGGGGAGGAGGCTCGTCCATAAAGCAGCGATGCTATTGGCTGAGCGCAGCAGGAAGTCCAGCCGCTGATCTGCTGTCATCTGACTTTGACGCAGGCGCGCTCCAGCTCTCCGAAAGTCAGCAGCAACAACAGGAGTAATCATATTAATAAAGAGGTCAGCATGGCTCCCAGAGTTGACTTTCTAAACCTCGCAGCGATCTTCTGGCTGTTGCTTTCCTCTTTCATCCCTCCCGTGGAGGCTTACGACGGGGGCGACGCTCTGGCCCTGCTGCTCGGCACCGTCCTGGCCGTGGTGGGGCTGTGCGCCTGCCTCGGATGGTACGCACGGAAGCGAAACGAGCTGATATGACGACGATCACGGAAGGTCTGGGTTTTCAAGGCCTGCGCTGAAATTACTCTTCCGTTTGTGGGCCTGTTTTTGGCGCAAAACAAACTGTTAAGAGGCGTGCCTTTGTGCATCAGTTGTGCAAAAAAGCTGAACAGAAACCACGTGAAGCTGGAGAAGCAGGAAAGAAACCCGGAAGTGCGCACTGAAATGAACCAAACACTGTTGCCTTGTGTCACAAAAATACTGCTAAACTTTCTTTTTACGCTTGAAATCCGCTGCCAGTTGTTGTTCAGTCTAAATGGATCGTTGTGGTTGTTACATGAGGCCTGATGACATTGCTTTGTTTGATCCACAACAACACAGCTTTGCCTGACCTAAGAACGTGGCAGCTTTTGTTAAAATAAATCAATCTGTTCCTCCTGGATTATTTCATTCGTGCACACAACTCAATGATTAGTTTCTTGACGAGAAATGTGAGGTTGGTGATTCAAAAGTTGTATAAAACTGATCAAAAGTAGAGATCATTATTATTTTCAATATGCTTTTATATAAAATTAGTTGAGAAATCATTTTATTTTAGCAAATCCTCCAATAATCACTTTTACTGCATTAAAAACTCACTCAAATACATAAAGGTTTTTGCCTAAGACTTAGGTTATTTAAATTAACTCATTCATTTTATCTCTGATCAGTTCCAAATGTGTCCCAACCATGTATGTTGATGGTCCCAACATATTTTTCCAAATTTAACCTGAAAGTAACACGTTTTTTTTATTGAGGGGTTGAATGCAGAATGGTTCAGCACTTGTTTTAATTGTTAAAATATTCCAACGTTACTTTTATTTGCAGATCTATAAGTACTTAGTATTATACTTCTGAACCGTTTGATTAGAGCACAAGTTCCTTATATTGTTGAAATCGACTGAGTAAAATCTACAAAATAAAACTACAAAAATATGTTGACATCTAAAAAAATGATTAACTTCTCTCTGTTAATTTAAATTACAATTATAATCCACAGATGTATAAAAATGCTTAAGTTTAATCTTCACAGCAGCTATTATGACTTTAAGGGGAAAGCACTGGAATGAATTCCACTCCAGATGCTGCAGATGCTAAATGCTCTGCAAAACTGCAAACAAGCAACTTCTAAATGGAATGCAGCCCTAATGGACAAGATGGGTTAAAATAAAAATATAATCCTTTAAATTTTATCTGAGCCTTATATTTAAGTTGACCATCCATCCAAAGAGTGAGTTCTGGGTCCACCGGTCCACCCACAGTCTCAAAATCAGTAAATCAAGTTCTTGGACTCTTGTGCAAAAACTTTTATGCACTAGGATGCAGATGGTGTAGTACAGGTTTTGGTAGTTTAATATTTAATTGCATTAAAATAGTTTGCAGGAACTCAAGAGCCACTGTCCTGCGTGGTTTAAATGTATTCCTGCTGAATTTCTTCCTCAGCATCGCCATGAGCTCTGCAGAAATTTGTTAACCACCAATTAGTTTAAAACTACGTGTTCAAGCAGAGAAATTACTAAAATGTTGCAGCTAATGTTTTTCAACAAATGAGCATATTTGAAATATGGTTAAACTAAACATGGATGATCAAATTTTCTTTAGTTTTGTTTGTACTAAAACATGTATAATGTAATATCAGTTTACCCTTTTAATCCCAAATAAACCTTTTTATTTTCCAGGTGTGTGAATACGAAATTACCAAGCAGCAATTCAACAAGTTAATAAATCAGACGTTTTCTTTGTTTCAGAACTTACACCTGATAACAGATTTTCTGAGATTTACAGAAAATGTGTAATGGGCATCGTTCCTCAAATGAAGAATTGGTGCATCTTCATAAAATAATACATTCTTCACATAGTATTTCAAAATATTGCACGTTGGAATTTGCAATAATTACGTTTTAACTAATACAGCTGCAATATTGTTTACATTATTTATCACACACACACACACACACACACACACACACACACACACACACACACACACACACACACACACACACACACACACATATATGTAATCATTGCACAAAGCCTTTAACAAATATTATATAAGTCTGCAGAAAGGCTGCAGAATACTCCCTACATTGTAGCAAATGTTTCACCTGTACCCCTTTATGCATGATAACTATTAATTCATGCTCATTGCCCCTGCTGATGCTCTCTGATGTTTTTCATGTGTTTGCAGCATTTTAAGTGTGCACGTGGCCATTGTTGGCTGTATGGTGACACTGCTTGTGACATCACAGCTCTATATACAAGGTTGAAATATCAAATCCTATGAATTTCTCATGCTGACCAGGCAGAATGAACAGCAGAGTGCAAAGTGCTTGTCAATTATGTATACAGTACATAAAGAGTACCTTGATGTGAGCCATGCCAACCTCATTTAGCCTCTCTCTGCACCGGAAGTGGAGGGCAAATATTAGAATTAAGTCAAATTAAAACAAACATTCACCTTATGCGTCTCTTGCACAATTAAATCCTTTAAACGTTATCATTTAACTTAAGTCTTCATCTTGAGTGTGTGAGTAGGAAAAAAAATAATCATGTAATCTGCAGTAAGGCGTTACCGGCCAGCAGTGGCCCTGTTGAGCAGATGTTACCGTCAGAGAGACAGAGTTGCTGCTGCTGCTGCAACAAGAGACAAGACGCGTCTTGGATCACAAATAGGGGGATGCAGAGCGCATGCGCACTGCGCTCCGTTTACTGTAGGATATTCACCGTAGAGGAAAAAAAGGGGGACAGGCATCAAATCTTTCAAAAACGGCAAAAACCCGACTTGTGCCATGTAACTACACAACAGGAGGGACGTGAAACAGGATTATCAACAGGTAGGGGTTTGATTGATCGTGTGATCAGATCTTTCTTCTCTCGTCTCTTTCTCTTTTTTCTCCCGTTCTTTCCTTTTTCTCCGGCCTTATGTGATTCTGGGTAATTCATACAAACGGAGCCTAATTCCAGTCGAATGGACGTGCGGATCCGCTGCTTCATCCCGGCCGACTTGGCACGCGTTTATTTGATTATTATTGTTGTTATTATCGTTAATAACCCATCTTTTCGTGATTTTTACGTAAATCTGTCGGATTTAAACGCACCTTGCAGATTAAGGGGACGTATTTACACGCGTGAGTGCAAACAAACGTCTTTATTGTTTCATTCAGAGCGTCCCCCCCAGAAAATGGAAGGAATGTCGTTTACTAGCGCCGTGTCGTTTTATTCCCCTCCATCCGGGTGATAATCACCCTCCGCGCATCAAAAAACCTAAATTTTACGCCAACATTGATCACGTCAGGAGCTGATGACGTTCACCTAAGTGTCTGTAATTAGGAATATGTTTGATGTTGTGGAAAATAGAGGTCGACTGATAGGCTCCGATGGGAGCCGCGTTTATTTAACAGGATCTCTTTAATCAGACAGGAAAAACCTATTTTATTTAGCTGTTAATAAAAGGTAGGACGAGCGCATCCGAGAGCCATCCTCTCCTCCTGCAATGGGTGTGATCAATAGGGCTTAGTTTTTCTTTTTGTCTGCATTTGTCTTTATTTCCTCAGTGCGTCTAAATGCCCCCCCCCCCCCCCCATCCCCTCCTCCTCCCTCTTCTCCTAAAAGAAGAAGGGATGGAGGGAGAGAGAGAAATGAATTCCAACTCAGACCCTTGGCGATTGTGGAACTGGCTCCTTCCCTACATATAAAAATGCGTCGTTCCTTTAATGAATGCTGCGCCGCTGCACTGTTGCCACCCTCTTGTTCAGGAAAATTCCAGGGCAACATAAAAGAAACCCCCTCCACTGATCAGCTGTGTCTCTTCCGGCTGCTCAAGTGTTTAAAAGCAAATGTGAATCTAAACATTGTAGACTGTGCCAGTGCTGCTGTTTAGGACCGGATGCTGATGGCTGGATGATGTTTTTCAGGGACTCTTTTTTTCCTAGGTGTGATGAGACAAAGAAACAACGGATGCCTTAGAGAAGAGGTTGCCTGTATGCCTGGAAACCTCTTCAAAGCACACCACCAAATGGATCAAACACCTCCCCCTGCCACATCTAGATCATGATACTTGGCTGAAGCTATCCCGCTACATTTATGATCCCTCCTCCATCTATGGCGAACTATAGCCATGCAGGGGACCACACCATCTTGCAGAATGTCTCTCCTCTCGCTACATTCCTTAAACTGACCTCTCTGGGTTTTATCATTGGAGTCGGTGTGGTAGGGAACCTCCTGATCTCCATCCTGCTGGTCAAAGACAAGAGCCTGCACCGGGCGCCCTACTATTTTTTGTTGGACCTGTGCACCTCTGACATCCTGCGCTCAGCCATCTGCTTCCCCTTTGTCTTCACCTCGGTAAAGAATGGATCTGCCTGGACCTACGGCACGCTAACCTGCAAAGTGATTGCCTTCCTGGGTGTGCTCTCTTGTTTCCACACAGCATTCATGCTATTCTGCGTCAGCGTGACCCGTTACCTGGCCATAGCGCATCACCGCTTCTATACCAAGAGGCTGACTTTCTGGACGTGCTTAGCTGTCATTTGCATGGTGTGGACGTTGTCAGTGGCTATGGCGTTCCCTCCGGTGCTAGATGTTGGGACGTACTCCTTCATCCGAGAGGAGGACCAGTGCACCTTCCAGCACCGTTCCTTCAGGGCGAACGATTCGCTGGGCTTCATGCTCCTGCTGGCGCTAATCCTCCTGGCCACGCAGCTGGTTTACCTCAAACTCATATTCTTCGTCCACGACCGTCGAAAGATGAAGCCCGTCCAGTTTGTGCCTGCCGTCAGCCAGAACTGGACCTTCCACGGGCCAGGCGCCAGTGGGCAAGCGGCGGCTAACTGGCTGGCTGGATTTGGTCGTGGCCCCACCCCACCCACCTTGCTTGGCATCCGACAGAACAGCAACGCAGCGGGCCGCAGGCGTCTTCTAGTGCTGGACGAATTCAAAACGGAGAAGAGGATTAGTAGGATGTTCTACATAATGACGTTTTTCTTCCTGGCGCTATGGGGGCCCTACCTGGTTGCCTGCTACTGGCGGGTGTTTGCAAGGGGCCCCGTGGTCCCCGGAGGTTACCTGACAGCAGCTGTGTGGATGAGTTTTGCCCAGGCTGGGGTCAATCCTTTCATCTGCATCTTCTCCAACAGGGAGCTGCGGCGCTGCTTTAGCACCACGCTCCTCTACTGCAGAAAATCCAGGTTACCAAGGGAACCCTACTGCGTTATATGATGGTTTTGCTGGAGTTTTTTAACCGTCTATGTCTCTATTACCCTGATTGATCTTGATCTGGGCTCGTATCCATTGTACAGCGCACTCTCTCTTTCCATGTCTCTTCGTCTCATCCTCCAGTTTCGGCCCCAGCTCCTCCTTTCTCGTGACCCTTCTCCTCAGACGTAGAGGCGGAACTGCCAATCCCGTGGCTCTGCCGGAATTATCAAATATAAAAACAAACGAGGAAGGGAATGGGAATACGTGGATGGTATGGATCTCTTCCTGCGTTTATGTTCTAGTAAACAGACATGGTGGAAGGCCATACCGAAGCAGAGAAGCAAAAAGTTTGTTTTTTGTATTAATTTTTTTTGACAAAAAACACTGAAAAGAAAACCTGCTTTGGATAATTTGAGGATGCTTTACTCTGTGATGTGTGAAATACAAAAAAATATAAAAAGTAGATCGAAAAAGAGCATAAAACAAAGAAACAATACCTCTCAAGGAATTATTGGAAATGTTTTACAGTTTAAGAGTTGCACTAAAAAGAAGATGTAAAGATGCTTTTTTTTATTGGTCGATGGTTGCCAGCTGCGTTGCAAGGACAACTTTTCCTCCATTCTTTTGTTTTCTTCAAAGTAAAAAAAAACACACGAATGCTTTAATTTGCAACAGACAACAGAATTGCTGTAAGTAAAAGCAAACCTTGGTGACTGTTGGGATACACCATCACTGGAGGATAAAATGGTTTTAATGTAAGTGATATCTTTTTCCATTTCTTGGGCGGGGGTGGGGCGCTATGATCGGGGTGGGGGATTGACAACGTGTGGTGTTTTTGAAGTTGCAACTTTGAACTAGACTTTATTTCTCGTACTTTTACGTTCCATTATGTCCCCGTTGTCTGGCTTTGTTATTTTCTTAACAGTTTTTACAAAAAAAAGAGGAAAAACAAAGAAGTGATGGGTGGCTTTTGGGTGGGGGAATGAACTTTGTGCTTCAAAAAGACATTGAAGAAGTAGTTAAATGTTTCATCTGATCCGTGTACCTAAACACTCTCATATTGTTACAGTATTGCTGATGCCACTCCGGGTGTTCTTGCCTTAACGGATGATATTGTCATGTTTCTCGGTTTATGTTTTGCCTTTCTTTAGGTGCAAGGGGAGTTTGTTTTTTCTGTCACACGAGCGTGAAAATGCATGTCCATTTTTAAAAGCTGGTCCACTCCCATGAGCATCATCACAGGCCATAAACCGAACAGCCCTTGGTTTTTAATTTAATTTTTTTTTTTTGTAGTTCAGCAATGGTTTGCAACACCCCACAGAGTGCGCCAAGCACAGGGAGTGTATGTATGTGTGAGGGTGTGTGTGTGTGTTTGAATGGATGCGATGATGTGTGTGGATTAGACAACCGTCACTTCAAGACCAGAGCCTTAGTACTAAATCTTGCACAATTTGTAAAAAATGTAAAAGGAAAAAAAAAAGACATTTAAGGCACACTTGTCTTGTTTCTACTTTCCCTACATTTGCTCTCTACTGATTGTTTTCAATGATTTTTCTCTCTCTCTTGTGGCCATTTTAATATTTATTATGTATTCATTTTTGTATATTATAGATAGTGTGTAAGTATGTGAGTCTTTTATTTTGAAGTTCCGAATGTGAGTACAGTTTTGGTTAAGATTGCATTTGCTGAAAGTTAACTGTGTAATCTGTTGCTTTTTTGAAAATAAAACCGTTTCAATTTTGCCAAATTTGTTATTTTTATCAATGCATGACATATTTGTCAACAACTGGTTAAACTAATTAGAAATGCCCTTTTTTTTGCTGCTTTGGTCAAATGATGGAACTTGATATTCCTGGTTTAATAAATTAAATATTCAAACTATAAAATTATTCAAGATTCCAGAAATGCCTCAGTATTTAGAAAGTTCTTATGTACCTAAAACAATATTGTGTATTATTTCTATCACTTGCAAAATCAAATAATTGTACAAAGCGTCTAACCTTTACTTAAAATCAGCTCACTGAATAGATCCCTGTGTTTTCTCACTGTTACCAGTCTGCATGAAACAGGAACACCAAGGAATTTATGATGAAATGTTCAAAGCCACCATATGAAATGACAGCTAACCCTTTTCTGCACCCCAGAGCAGCAAATGACACAGCAGGTTGTTCCTTTCTGTTTTTTTTGTTTTTGTTTTGTTTTTAGTGTCAAGAAAATGAGTTGAAATATATGGAAAGGGGAACAAAGGAAATTATAGCAGCTTCACTTTCTATTTTCAAGAAGTGTCAAGTTTTGGAAATAAATAACTACTTCTAATAATTTGAATGATCTTATAAAGTCTAATTAAGCTTCTGTTAAGTTTTACAGTTCATTGTCTTCACCCATCGGTAAAGAATCAACACTTTTTCTCACACTTTAATTACAAAGAGCTCTTTATGAAGCAGGATTATTTCCTTTCTGCTGATGCAAAATTTTTAGTTGAGTGGTGTTTGTTAAATCCCAAATTCATAAGCTCATGAATCTGTTTACAAGTATGAATGTTTTTATTGAACACGTTTGGTTAGAGTTTTCAATGACAGGTTGTGTAAAAGCAACAAAAGATGGGTACTTATTTGCAGAATTCACATTCTGACATTGAAACATGTAAGTTTTCCAAACTGGAGAAATCAGCTAAGATAAATTTGTCATTTTAGGAGTTTAGCTGATTCGGTGAAGAATCAAGGTGCTTCAGAATGAGATCAAACTGGACATTTTGGTTTGCTTTATTGAATTTAGTTTGAAGTAATGCTAATGAAAACTGACACCGAAGTTAAGATGGTATTAATGTGTGTTTCCTTCTCACATAGCACAAACAAATGGTGATATTGTAGAGCTTGGGTCCATTTTTTTGCACGTTGTTTTGTTCAAATATTTTTGTTTCTGAAAAACAAAAGATGTCTGACATAGTCTGACTGGTTCTGGCTCAGTCCTCCTGTACCAATGTGTTTAAACCAGAGAAAATGTGATTGTTATGAGGCGGGAACGACTCTTTGCAGATGATACTTTTAATTGTTTGTTGGTACACATTTGCATTTGATACTAGCTGCCTGTTATAAACAGAAACATGTTTAGTTACTGGATTTCAATGAAAAGTTTGCACACAGTGTGAATTCCTTTTTCACAACTTTCGATGACAAAGCATTTAAAGGTTGAATATGGAACATGGACACTCTGGCGAACTCTGGTGTTCAGACTGCAACAACAGGACTAATTTTCCAGCCACTGCGATGTTGGTTCGCTGCTGACATGTTCCAGCACCATATTCAGAGACAAATCGTACAGGATAGGGACTAATTTCTGCTAATAAGTTTATTTTACAACAGTATTTATAGTTAGAACATCTTCTGGGCTCAGAATCAGCTGCTTGACTTGTCAAGTCAGCCATTTTACACAGTCCCAACCTCGCCTTGCTGAGCGGACTTTTTAGCACAATGGTGCCCTCTAGTGGCTGGTAGAAGTAAACATAAACACTGTCGTGCCCATCGTGCCCGACAAAATAAAAATTTGATTATTATTTTTTTAAATATTTCTTTTAAAGAAGAAAATGTGCATTCATCCTGCACACCTCTAAATGCCGCATGGATGTTTTTTTTATATAATTTATTAAAATGTTCCATCTTCTAACTTTAACATGTCTTATTGCTTTGCATGATTTAATGTAGATGATTTTTTTAACAGGCAAACAGATTTTTTTAAAGTGAGGATCGAAAGGCATCATTCAATTTGAGTGTCTCTGCTGGGTAAAGCTTTCTTCTATTCATTAAATATACAGAAAATCTTGATTAAAACGCAATACATACCCAAACCATGAAGTTCTTAGAGCATGCAGCATCTTTTTACAAGCAACTTGAAGAAAGAACAAATTAAAGACATGCTTTCAGTCACCACGATCATCACATGCACTTGCTTAAAAAGGACAAATGTTCGTTCTGCTGGAATTTAGGTTACTTTAAAATGACATGTTTATGAATTATGTTGGGAAAATGCCCCCAAAAATGTTACATTTTGGAATCTGTGGTTGTAGATTTGTGATCTCTTGCGTTTGTGTGTCACCTATGAAAAAGAGTGTTTAAAATGCATTGGTTTCATTCAACACTTTTATTTTGTACTTTTGGGATTGATTGATTGATCAGTAATCAAAATAATATTAGTAAGAGTTAAAATTGTCCAGTTTTTTTTCTGTTACCCAAGTTCTAGTTTCTTGTGCCGTCTTTTTTTTCTATTTTCAGTACATTCATAAACTTTTTTTGGGAGGAAATCCCAATAGATACAGTGTTGTTAAAATATTTGCGGCAACGCAAGTAAATGTGATGATTTTTTATATGAATGGATATTGAATCATCAAGCCTAACAATGTGTCAAAGAAAGGTCTCCAAGAACATGAAAAAGAGGAGAAAACCTCTGTGGATGTTGAAAATGTTGCATCATTATCAGTGTGTGAGAGAATATACAAAAAGGCAGCGCGAGTCTCCAAATACTAATTGCTTTGAATTTTTTTAAACAGAAAGTAATGAATCAATGAATATTCATTCACTTAATAATTCCAGTCTTCATGTGTTCATTTCCATCAGCCACCCTCTGCCAGGTTTTGCAGCCTATGATGAAAATGCCTTTTGCAGAGATTTTCCCTGTTTTAAATATTAACTGATTAAACTGCAGGATGGATCTTCAAAGGTTTCAACCTGCATATTTAAACCTTTTTCCCTTCTCCTGTAATGTGAGATTTATTAGTTGGACGCACTCCCTGAAAGTCTGCTTGGAGACATTTTTTGCGTAATAATAATCTTGAACTTGTCCAAGGCATCACATTTTTATAGACTGGAAGTCATCATAGAGGAGTTTAATGTGATCTCAAGAAATTCCAACATACCGGTATATGATGTTGTTTATCTGTATGTGACTTTTATTTTGAACCTTTCTGGAGGTTTTACACCAATTTTGAGGCAGATTTCCTGTCTGGCTCGATGTAAACTGCGGAGTTTGACTTGTTTTTTTAAAGCGAAGCCATAAACAATGGACTTAAAACATAATGATGGCGTCCCTTCGCTTCTGGGATGTGTCCTAAATGTTACACTTTGCTGCTGGTGGAAAGGAACCCGTCCACTATAACTGCGGCGAATTGCTGCAAAGTACGTTTCACAGCCATTTCACAACTCTTTCACGTCCGGTGGACATAAGGGGTCAGAAGTCCTATTCAACAGTGTCATATTGTTGACTTTTATGCCTGACTCCAGATTTATATTTCTCCTGAAAATGCTGAAGTTTAGCTCATTTAACTGATGTGCTGATTTATGGGACAGATTTCCAACTTATTGTTTCATTTGCCATTTGTAGAACGTTCACATGAAATGCCTAGTTTTATGTATTTTCTGCTGTTTACTTGCTGAAACATGGCCAGCGGGATAGCAAACAGCTTCTCTGACTGCGTGATTTGTAAGTTTTTGCTACTACTAATTTAGGGGGTTTTAAAGGATATTGTAGGTTGTCTTATGTGTAAAATCTGAGTTAAAAACAAATCTTTAAAACTTTATGTCAGCATTGGTGCTGCCGTAAAGACAACAAACATTACATGTTCTTTGCCCAAAAGGGTTAAAATGGTGAGGAGTGTACCTAATCTGTGTGTGTACTATTGATTATCTTATTTCGTATTCTAGTAACACTTAATATTCTTTGAGAAATATGTGTCTGAGGCTTTTATTGTGAAGGATGGAACAAAGTTTTAGCTTCATTTTAAGGTTTACTCAGTAAAAAACTCCTAAGACAGTCTGTTATGAAAACAGTATTACAGGGGCTGCATGGTGGAGCCTTGCAGCAAGATGGTTGCAGGTTCAACACCTGGCTGTGGCCTTTCCACACGGATTATGCATGCTCTCATCATTCACTCGTATGTTTTATCCGGGTTTTCTCCCACAGGCAAAAACAAGCATGTTAAAGTTAATTGGAGAGTCTAAGCATAAGCACCATCTCCCCCAACCATACTCAGGAATGAGTAATTTAGGAAAGTATGTATTTAACAATGAATGAAATACCAAATACAGACAGGTTCATCAGCACAGTGGTCACTTCTTACAGTTTCCCAGCATTTTGATTCAATTCTAGAAATAGTTTTGACTTCATGTTGAAAACAATGTGTTTATTACTTTCATCTTGAAATTTCCCACTTGTATTATTTTTCTCTTCATATTCGGACCATTTTGGGGGAAATTGTAGAATAAAGTGTTGTGCCCACTGCAGGAACCTTAGCTCTTACCTTCTGCTTTATCAATAAGACATGAAAAAGAGATAAGAAGAAGGGAACATGTATGAGAATGACATGTCTTTGTAGCATGTTAGCAGGCTGTGTTGCAAAAATCCTTTTGTTGCATCTAGTTTTTGGGCTGCATGGTGACGCAGTTGTTAGCACTGTTGCCTCGCGGCACGAAGGCTGCAGGTTTGAAACTCGGCTGTGGCCTTTCTGCGTGGAGTTGCGTGTTCTCCCCATGCATGCGTGGGTTTCCTCCGGTTTCCCCCACAGATCACAACATGCCCTATAGGTTATAAATTGTAAGTCGCTTTGGATAAAATAGTTTTCTTTCAGAGGAACTATTTGCAAATAAATCTGAAATCCCAGCACAGAACTCAATTTTTGTCTTTATTAAGACGCCAATTAGCTGTCGGTTGCTATCAGATGAAGGCAGCTTAAAGTAACAATCAAGCAAAGGTAAGACA